CAGGTCTTCCATCCTTAGCCCCGATTGCTTAATAAAACTTTTTAGAATAATTAAGATCAATTTGATCCTAATAATCTCCCCCTAAAGTTTTATGAAGCAAGCATCTTCATGAAGTCTTCAGGTCTTCTCCCTTTTGCTTTCTTGAGTAAAGCTTTAGTGTGCTTGGTATGGATGGAATTTTCAAGCTCCCCCTCTGAATGTAGCTCTTTGTTCTTCATTTTCAACTCTTAGAGCAAATCATATTCAATGTGAATGTAGCACCACTGATTGCACATAATGCAGCTTTAATCTGCCTACAACCTACCACATACTTTGAAGCACAGAATAGCCACTCAACGCCAAAAGTAGCAAATTCATCCAACTAAGGGATAGATAAATGTGTGAATTTCTTGGCAAAACAATGCAACCACTCTTATGACAAAGAATCTTTCATTGAACCATAAGTTGAGTAGGAATTCAGCTTTAGAGCTTGATCCAATTGGAGATAASTTGAATAACCAAAGCAAACACCATTGGAATTGAGAACTGGATAGAAGAATTAACATTAAGCTTTATGGCTTTAAGAAACAGCAGGTCAATTCAAAGAAAATTGACAGTATTGCTGTTAATGCTTCTAAGGGCAAAACATGAAGGAATATTGCCATATTCATATAGGATTGGTGATTACAGGCAAGTAAATCTTTAGGCTCTTACAGATCCAAATCCACAAAAAGAGACGATGATTGAATACTCAAGATATGGACGATAATTATACATTTGGCAAATAGAACGCCAATTGCCTTAGGCTGTGAGTACCATGAACTCCTGCTTATCGCCTACGCGTAGATCTGACAAAATCAAGGTTCAAAAATTCGACTGACTCCAAGAAACTCCATCAAATAAAACAAAAAAATTTATAATCAAAATAGGTTCGTATTCATCCAAGAACAAATCCCTTAAAAGGAATTTGATTAAACATTTAATCATATGATGAATTTTTTGGTCCAAACTGCAGTCGACCAGGAAGCAGTTCATGAAAGAGTATTGTTCAAGATAATTGAATCTACTTTAGAAATATCAAGTCGATAGAAGTTAATTGATTTGGCTCTGATACCAATTGTTAATCCCAGATCTGACCGTAGAGTAATGTAAAGCAATTTAAAAAGAGATTTGTAGAAGAAGTTGAATAAAAATCGGCCGCCACTTTCTTTATTGAATGGAAAATACAATCTCTCAAAAATCCTAATCGACTTTCATGTGATGTGTTTGAATCTGTGTGTTACAAAGTGTTGATAATTCATCTCACATCTATTCTATGCCTGTATCACTTCTTATATAGGTGATATTTACAAGATAACTGAATCCTATAAATAAGGTAACTAAATCCTATAAACAAGGAAATAATCATTATCGAAAATGGGATCAGCATCTTCAAGATTCTGAAGATAGTCGTGTAGAGGATAGACCAACCAGAGGATAGACCAACCAGAGGTTAGACCAACCAGATGATAGACCTACTAGAGGTTAGACCAACCAGAGGATAGACCAACCAGAGGTTAGACCAACCAGAGGATAGACCAACTATAGGATATACCAACTATAGGATATACCAACTATAGGATAGACCAACCAGATGATAGACCTACTAGAGGTTAGACCAACCAGAGGATAGACCAACTATAGGATATACCAACTATAGGATAGACCAACCAGATGTTAGACCAACTAGTGGATAGACCAACAAGAGGATTGACCAACCAGAGGTTAGACCAACCTGATGTTAGACCAACCAGAGGTTAGACCAATAAGAAGATAGACATTTTAAGCTCAACAGCATCTTCAGGTCTTCCATCCTTAGCCCCGATTGCTTAATAAAACTTTTTAGAATAACTAAGATTAATTTGATCCTAACAAATGCTTTGTTCTGGTGGGAAGTTGAATCATTGGCCAGGACATATGTTTAACAGACGTTATCCTGGACATAATTTGTGGAACGATTCAAGAATCAGTTTTGTCCTAAAACTGTAGTGAGACAAATAAAGAAGATTTTCTAAAACTGGAACATGGAAATGGAACAGTTTGGGAGTATACTGAGAAATTCATTGAATACTCTCGGTTTGCCGAACACTATGTTTCATCTGAATCCAGGAAGAATGAAAGGTATATCTGGGGTTTGAAACCATCATTTAGAGAGTTTGTAATTGCTATGAACCCCAATACCTTTTCACTGATGGTAGATACGGCTGAAGTGACAGAACGAAATAAGAATCGGCAATCAGAAGGAAAGGTTGTGGAAAAGAGAAGTTGGGAAGGGCCTTCGTCTAATTTTCGAGGACCAAAGACAGTAAGATATGATAACAAATCTGAGCAGAAGATAGGTGAGAAAGTTTTCTAACAACGTCGACAGGTTTATTAGGGTGAGTGCAATACGGACACAAGGAAGTGTTGTAAATGTGGTGAAGCAGGCTATATGTCCCGAAGTTGCCCAGCTAACCGAAGATGTTTCAATTGTAATTCTCCGGACCAAATACGACCAAACCGCCCGTTGTTGAGAACTCCACAACTGATAATGGGAAGTAATGTGTTAGGTACTCGAGGAAGACCTGCTATAACCAGGTTTTCTACGAATCTAGGTCAAGGTAACTTTATGTGTTTATGTGATGACATGCATAATTATGGTAATATTTGCATGAATTATGTGTGCATATGTGGTAAATTAATATTATGCATGTATGTGGAAATTTTATAGGCGGTTATAGGATAATATAATATGTGAACCAAACCTTTATCTCTAAGAAATGTTGATTTTAATATATATTCTTTCAAACCGCCTAAGGACTTTTATATTAAAAATATCATCCACCGCCTCATCCTATGTATAAAAGAAAGAGGATAAGGTAAAAGCATTATCAGTTCACTATTTTGCAAAATATACAAGAGGAATATAAAGGCGGTGAAAGCATTCTTAGAAAGTGTTCTTGAAAAATATTCTTGAAAGAATATTGCTGTTTAAAGATTCTGTTATTTGCTGCGTGATAATCTGCAGAATCTGTTATTTTAAGGTGAGTTTTAAACTACTGTCGATAATAAACTGTGAGTTTTATCTACTGTTTGATTCTATAAATTATGGAATATTGATGGGTTTAAATTTAAAAGAATCCAGTAGAACTGTTTTAAACAGTTTTTAAAAGAAACTGTATTATGAATTGAAAAGCTTAAACCTGTTTTGAAAAAGATTGAGCAGGAACTGTGTTTGAAGGAATAGTTTGGATTTGGTACTCTGTTTTTGAGGATTAAGCAACAACAGACGATTGAGAAATCATATGTAGAACAGATTGTTCTTATGGTTTGAAGGGTTTGAATACAAACCTGTGTTGAGATTATGATTGGTTAAAACTATAGACGAGGTTCACTCTGACGTACATGACTTTGTTCTGTCATTGAATGAAATAGTCTATAGATTTTGGATAAACACTATGAACGAGGTTCACTTTGACAGAAAGGTCTGCAGCCTGTTTGGATGAAATAGTTCATATGTATTTAAGAGGAAATAAGGATGGTCGTTGTGTGTGATAGATAACTATTGCTATAAACAGGAGATCGATGGATGTAATAAGAATGGTCGTTGTGTGTGTGTGCATGGTATTACTCTTACTATTATATCTAATAAGATTACAACAGATTGGAGTTCTCTCTTCTTGGTGATTTGAGGATTTAGAGATGTTGTTCTTATTAGAAATAGTAGTTTTGATGTTATGGTTATGGAAAAATATGGCCTATGGTAATTGGTTTTGACAAAAATATTTTGGAACAAAATGTACATTTTATGAGGAACCAGAGGAGTTCTGGGTGGTCTTCACTAATGGACCAGAGGGTTCTTGTTAGTTGATTTGATGAATATGCAAACTTTTAGTAAACGTACTAGTTGGACCAGAGGCTCTGTATCTATTGATAAGAGCTTCTGTGTCAAAATCATATTTATTGATAAGAGCTTTTGTGTTAAAATCATGTTTTAAGAAGTTTTAAGAAAAATGAATTTTATACTTAGTATTTTATACGAAAGACATACCAGAGGGGCTCTAGTCGACTCGCACGTTGAACCAGAGGCTCTGGTTGGTCATAACTTTTAAACCAGAAGCTCTGGTGTTAGGACTGAAAATCAGTATTAAATTGTATTCATCTTGAAAGTTAAATATTGTCTATAATTGTAAAAGTCATCGTGTTTGACTTTTCTTAGGCAGGTTTGACTTTGACTATGTTTAGTAGTTTGACCATATAAATAAAAGTTTGTCTTTGTAATTGAAAAGTAGTGAGAGCTCATTTGTAAAACATATTACGTAATAGAGAGTTTGACCAGAGATTTGAATGTTAGACTTTTTCTCTCAACTCTCATATATGTGTTCTTGAATGTTTAACAAGATCTGCCATATTTGTGAAGCTTTCATGAAGATTGATCATCAAAAGTGGGACACACAAATGGTATCAAAGCAGTGTGTGCAAGAGATCAGAAGAAGAAATCAGATTTTCTTTTAAATTTTTTTTTTATTTTTTGAATTTTTTTTTGTTTTCTTCGTGTTCTTAATTTTTTCTTAAGTTTGATTCGATTTTTTTTAAAATTTTTGTGTTTTCGTGTTAAAAACAGGATCAAAATGTGCGGAATCATGTTGTGAATATTTGTTATACACAAAGATTTGTGTATTGATCTTTGTTTTTCGAGTTTTTGGTAGATTTTTGTGTTTTTAAATTTTTTTTCGTGTTCTTAATTTTTTTTTAAAACCAGTGTTTTTGATCCATTTTTTGTTAAAAAAATTTTGTTTTGTGTTTTTGATTGTTTTGATCTATTTTTTTAATTTTAGTTTGATTTTTTTTGGTCTAAATAGCTCAACCCGTCCGGATTTGGCCCATCCGGATTAAGCCCAACAGGATTAAATCACTCAACAGGTTTTGGGACTTCATAAATCGGAGTAGGAAGCTTGCTTGGTGATCGGACTTCATAAATCGCTCGACATTTCTTTTGCTTGGTGACCGGATTCTTGAGCGGATTCGTAGAAATCTTGAGCGGACAAGTTTAAATCGCAGGATACCTTCTTTGGGTTCTACCTTCATCGCTCAATCACAACCTAAATCGATCATCTCGTGACCGGATAATTGATCGGATTTTTAATCGCACAAATCAAAAGGTAAGTTTCTGATTTTTCAAAGTCTTAATCTATCAACTCGTGACCAAATACTTGAGCGATTTAGGTTTACTCTTGAGCGGATAAGTCTCCGGATAGGTAAATCGATTGGGTTGATCGGAGTCTTAATCGTTCAAATCAGAACTAGTGACCGGACTAGTGACCGGATATGTACAACCCTTGGCCGGATTAGTGAACGGATTAGGTTTAGCTTTGAGCGGAGTTGAGTGATTTAGGTCAGCTTTTTGTGCGAGTTAGTGTCAGCAGTGAGCGGATCTTTGAGCAATTTAAGGAAAGTCTTTGAGCGGACTAGTGACCGGACTTCGAACTGTTTTATCAGACCCATCTGCAGCTACACAGGTTCTCTTAGGCTAAATAGCTTGTTGTTCCATTCGAACAAATTGCCATCAATAGGTTCTGTGTTTGTGAGAGATAATTGTGACTGCACTTGTGGGCGTTCTTACAGCAATCTTCATCTTCCAGTTTGCCTATGAGAATTGATAACTCTGATATATAACTTGATTCGAGCTTTGAGTTCCATATGAAATCTCAATTAGAAGTTCTAAAAAGTGATTGCCTTTATGCTTGTGTAGATTGCCTTTATTCAAATAAAAGCTTTTACTGATTGTGTAAATTGTTTGATTGCATTCACCAATTGCAGGAGGAGATTAAGGTGTAGACATAGTGCCTTTTTTCTATTGAAATTGTGAAGTTCACTTAGCTTGTATCACTACAGACTTCTCTTGACTGTATTACAGGCTTGAACTTAAGCAGACTGTATAATCCAATCACCAGTCTGTCCGTATTGACTGAATTCTGTTGTGGTCATGTTGATTGTTAATTGAACCTTCTGTGTTTGTTCGTTATTGCACACACCATACAAAGATTTGTTGCTTGGTGTAAGAAGTTGTTGCTGTCATTTGTGCACTGGAACAGCAGCCCGAGTAGGAAAGAAACAGACCGATTCCACTGAGGAATTTAATACTGCAGCCAATGCAAACGAGGAAAAAGACTTCATTAACTAGCCTGGAATTTCACTCAAGACAGTCAATTTTATTGCTTGGCATTTTTCACAGGTACATTGTTTTAACTTTGTGCATTATCTGTGTTTGTGTATTTCAAGACTGGAACAGCAGATTCTTTGTGCTTTTGATATTAAATTTGAGGATTTGGTTTTATTGGTGTCACTTTGTGCTTTTATGTCAAATTTTGTGGACTGGAACAGCACAAAGGTCAATTACAGTTTCATTCATTTTTCTTAAAAGATTCGTTTTTGGTTTGCTCATTGCTTTAATCTGTTTTGAGAGTTTGTTTGAGGTTCATCAAGTTAAGGGTTGAGGGAATCTCACAAAGTTCCTGCTGGTAGAAATCCACAGCAGAAAGATCAATCTGTTTGATTTTGCTTTCAATCTCAGATTTCCGGCTTCAATTTCATCTGTTTTAGATTTTTTTTTCTATGATATCTGGGGTGTTTTACAAGCTGTTGCTATTGTGGTTCATATCAAAATGGTTTAGACATTAGACAGCAGCTGTGTGTTCTCGATCAAGACACCCACGTTGGTCAAGGAAGAGAGGGTTTGTGACATACATTTTGTAGAAGAAGCAACAATTGAAGAAACAGTTGCCATCTTGAAGCTATTGTGACATACATCAATTGTTTGTGAGGAACTACAGCAGCTCCTTGCTGTAGCAATGAGCACATATAGTTAGTTTAAATCGTTCAAGCTAACAGCCTAACTGTGGTTGTGATTTGATAGTTCAACTGTTTTTGTGACAGGTACATCAAATGTCACTTTGGAAGGTTTTAAGGCATAGCAAGGCTTGGGCTTGGATAGAGAAATAAGTTGCTGTATTGGCTTTGCTTGCAGCTATTGAACTAGTGCAGATTTGAAGTTATTGAACTGTTTTGTTTCATCTTGACAGCTTCTATTAGCTACACAAATTAGCGCACATAATCTGTTTACAAGCTTCTTCATTTTCAAGTTTGTTATCATTCAGGACGAAGCACAATCAGAAACTGCTAGAGGAAGTCGCACAGATACCTATTGGTTGTGAATCAAGAATTGTAACAGCTCTTACACGCTACCATTTGAATTGACCAAGAATTTCATTTGGTGTAATCATATTAAGGAACTTTGTTACGGTTTTGAATTAGTTTGTAATTTGGGTTTCTTAGTTTTTAGTTTTGTTTAGATTGTATTATTTTGGATCATTTCGTGTATTTGTTATCTGTTTGTGTTTTTAAACTGTTTGAGAATATTTGAACTGTTTTCTGTCGAGTAAACTGTTTTTCATCAGTTTAAACTGTTTTTGACTGTTTTTAACAGTTTTTAACTGTTTTCAACAGTTTTGACTGTTTTTACTAATTTTTTATAGTTTTTCGCCGATTTTCTGTATTATCATCAGTTTTTTTTTTTTTTTTGTTATTCTTTTTGAGCTTAATTGTTCCTGATTTCTTTTACTGATTTCACTGCATTGATCCTTTAACTAATCATTTTTTTAAAATGACAGATATTCTAAAGGAGATGAGAGAGAAGATTGCTGAGCTGGAAAAGAGCATTGTGAACTATAAAATTATGAATTATGCTAATGAGCAAAGTTTTAAAATTTTGAATCGGAAGCATGTAGAAAGATTAGAAAGAGTTGAGAATGAATTCAAATATCAGATTAATAAACTTGAAAAATCCTTGAATGATGTCAGAATAGAATGTGACAAAGAGATAAAAACATGGAGTAAGTCTAATAAAGATTTGTCCAATAAACTCCAAAAAGTTCAAAATGAACTAACTGCTGAGAGGAACTCTCCAAGGAATAATACAGAGACAAAGGACTTTACTGAGAAAATTCATAAACAAGAGAATGATTTGATTGAG